AAAGATAGTTCTTTTCCTTCTTTTATAAGTAGGTTTTTGTGACTACTACTCGTTATAAGCCAAAAATAAGTAATGTAGTCGATTACTATGACAAATACAACTTTGCTTAATCAACAATCCCTCCACAGAAGGTGATATGGAAAAATGTCCGGCCTTCCTTGAAATTCACATCTTTCCGGTGGCCAAAGGGCACTCGTGACAATGTGGTTTAGTGTTTAATGGGTCGAGCTTATAAGCTCTAATGTTATGGTTCGAGTTCCGCTGGGGTGGTTGTTAAGCCCTAGGCGAGGTCGAAGCTGCAGAATGCCTTTTTGTAAAAGCAAAGCTATGTTAAATTCGGTAGAAACGTAAGGTTTAACGGCCAGTCCTTTATCACCTTATACGAAATAGGTTGAATTCACTTCGTATATAGTTCTTGTTCACCTTTCGAGTCCTCTGCAGATTCAGCAATGGACCCCTCTTATTCATTTTATGGATTTTTACCAAATCTCAGATACATTATTGGGGAAGCGGCATTAAAGTATAACTTATTGCAGGCCTATTCTTTTCAGTGAACCTTTCTCAGTTTGCATTTGCCAAATATATTTAATTAACTTTATGTCCCCGTCTGATGAGGGAAGCTGATTAGAGGCCCTGAGATGCATTTTTAAGTATTTTTCTGCTGATTGTCTATATTCCTAAGTAGGAGATATATTGAGCAAAAGCTTATTGTTATGGTGGCTGAATTTTTTGGGTTGAGGAAATATTCAACCTGGATAAATTGTATGATCTGCGAATGTAGGTCTATCTCATCAAAGCACATTGCCTGATTTCCGTGGTTCTATAGTCCATAGACCTTGCTATGAATTTCAAGTTGAAGCATAGAAGACATACTCTTTCGGTCCGGATAGAAACGGACTAGACTTTCATCCGTCAGGCCACTTTGCAAACATCGTCAGAGCTGGAACTCATTCCTATGAACGACTTAATTTAATTTTACACGAATAAGATTAACCGACTCTATCCTACATGTTGTACATATGATTACAGCAGGAATAAAGCAAAAATATTCTAATAATTGCAGATAGTTAGATATTGTATGATCGGGTTTTTTTATATGTCTCAGCATCCATCTATCTATATTCATATAGTTTTGTTTTAGTTATAAGTATAAATATAGCAGATAGTGTAGAACGTTCTTATAATAGTCTCCTGGCAAAGAGGCGGGAAACTGGAATGTCAGATATTGTCCAATTTTGTGCTGGCCAACCGGCCCTTAGGCAAGTTAAGATACACGACGCAAAACGACGTTTATGGAGCCTGGATTGATAAAAGCAAAATAAACGGTTGGAACTGAACCTCGCGGTATGTATACATACAAGTGCTCAACTCCACTTTCGTCTCGCGCTAAATCGCTCTCCGGAGCAACTCGCCAGCCACACTTGTGGCCTCAATCGCGGAATTCTGTGTTCCTTCGCCTCTTCTCCATGTCCCCTCCAGCCTTGATTGGTCGCCGTCGTGGTCTTCGTCGTCATCGGGCTCCGACCTAAAATTTCCAGGTGGCCATTATACCAATTTCGGTCACTCTCTCTGTCTCTTTCTCTCTTAAGGCCATAAAATTTTAGAGCCAGTTTGCTTTTGTCCAGCTGAGTGAGTGGTCGGAAGCCGGTAGACGGTCGGGCAAGTGACCAAAAGAGTTTGTTTGATGAGTAAGTCTACCGCTCCTCCACTCCTTCGCTGTCCTCAATTCCTCTGTGGTTCTCTTCTTCAGAGCGAATTAAAGGGTGGGGACGATCCAGTCAACAAGCAAGATGTGCTCATGTTTGATTTGTGAGCCAGTCCGTAGGGCATTCCCACAGGATGTATCTGTTAGGATGCAGACAAGAAGCGACATACCATCTTAACGGTATGTGTGCTCTTCAGTCGCCAAATGTCCCCTGGCCAGCTCTTATGCGACTCCGGATGGGTCATAATCACAGTCTGACCGTGTTCTCCTTGACTTGATTTTTCTGGTCATAACCTTCGCAGGTGGAAGTGAGGCTGGAGAGAGGATAGACGGCCGAGGTGGCCGGGCCTGCGGAGGCCTATCTTCTTCTTCGGCCCAACTTGGCGCTTGTGGCGCGAGTCAGTTTGCCCAAAGGGCGAACTTTAAGAACGGACAACTGAAAATAGATTGACGAGGACAGCAGAGAGTGTCGCGGATGCAGAGCCGATTCGCAGTGAGCGAAGTACACGTACCCAAATAGGAGAGAATGGGCGTTCAAGTCTATGCATGTACTGACAATTTGGTGCACATTCAAACTCAGATCCATTGCATCTTTTTGTTTGTGCGCGCTTTTTCAAGCCATTTTTATGCGTCTGCATTCAGCAACCCCTCCAGAAACCATGTTTCTCCCT